GCAACAAGCAGTATTTTCCTCTCTCTCTTTCTCTCTCCTCTTTTTGCCCCCACTCTCACCCTCTCTCTCCTTTTCTCTCTTGGCTGACACTTGCTAGGCAGGTGCTCTACCATGTGCGTCATTCTGCCAGCCCTTTTTGCTCTGGTTATTTTTGGGATAGGGTCATGCTCTATGACCAGGCTTGGCATGAACCTCAATCCTTCTATAAGGGCTCCCTGTGTACTGGGATGTCATGTGTGAGCTACTGGGCCCAGCTTTTATTGGCTGAAGTGGGGGTCTCTGCAAATTTTTGCCCTTGCTGGCCTAGAGCTGTGACCTTTCCATCTCTGCCTCTCAGGCAGCCAGAACTACAGACTTGAGCCACTGCTCCTGGGAGCAGTGTTTCTCATGGTTGAGTAACAAACACCCTACCACAACTTCCCTCTCTCTTTACCTGAGAATGGAAGCGAAGCTTCCCTAGCCTGGTTATTGCAAACAGCCTGCAGTGAAGGGAGTGAGTCAGTACACTGTCTCCTTCAGATACAAGCGCAGAAGTGGGATTGCTGCACCATATGGGGTTCTAGTTTTAGGTTTCTGGTACTGGGGTTTGAACTCAGGGCCCACACCTTGAGCCACTCCACCAGCCCTATTTTGTGAAGGGTTTTTTTCGAGACAGAGTCTCACGAACTATTTGCCCAGGCTGGCTTTAAACCGCAATCCTCCTGATCTCTGCCTCTTGAGTAGCTAGGATTACAGGCATGAGCCACTGGTGCTCGGCTCTTTTTTGTTTTTTATTGTTGTGCTGGGTGGGGGTACACTGTGGCATTTACAAAGCTAGTTTTAATTTTTGAGGAGGCTCCACACTGTTTTCCACAGTGGCTGTGCACACTTACTTTCCCCCCAACAGTGTGCAAGGCCCCTTTCTTCTCATCATCTCCAGTGCTTGTTAGCTCCGACCACACTGTTCTAAATGATGAACAATTCAATGCAATTCCTACAGAAAATTCCACTGGGATTTCCCACAGAAACAGAAAAATCAACTCTTAAATTTGTACGGAACCACAAAAAAACCCCTAATAGTTAAAGCAATCTTGAGACAGAAGAACAAAAAGCTAAATGCCCCCTCACATCCTAATTGCAATATTACCAAGGTATGTTAATCTGAAAATGGAATAAACCCAGAAATGTGGACCGAGGAACAGAATACAGAGTCCAGAAATAAACCCATAGACACATAGTCATCCAGTCTTCAACAGGGCACCAAGAATGTGCAGGCGGGAAAGGACTGTCTCTTCAACAAATGGTGCTGGGAAAGCCAGGTAGCCACAAACCAAAGAATGAGACTGAACTCTTACCCTATTCTCCAAAGTAAACCCAAATGGACTGAAGACTTCAATGTGAGAGCTGAAACCATAAGAGTTGTTACAAAAAAGATGGGGAAAAGCTCTGTGACACTGGTCTTGGATTTGATACTCAAAGTACAGACAACAAAGCAGTATTAGACGAAGGAACGATGCCATACTGAACAGCTTGTGCACAGGAGAGGGGCAGCAGGGTGAAGAGGCAGCGCACAGGGTTGGGGACATGTCTGCAAGCCACGTACCTGATAAGGGGTTGGTATCCACAATACACAAGGCACTGCAATTCAACAGTGAAAGACAAAATAACTCAAGCAAAAAAAAGTAGGCAAAACTGAATCTGCCTCATCTCTGGAGACACTGAAGAACCACAGTGCTGTGCACAAAAGTGCGCGTCCTCCTCCTCAATGGGCATAAATGCCCTGGGTAGACCAATGGCCACCAGGTACCAACTGTCAGGGAGACACAAAGCAGGACTATGCTGAGGTGTCACCACACTCCTGTCAGCATGGCTATGACCCCGAAACCCTCATCTGGGTTTCATCAGGTTCCCATTAACATCCTTTTCTGTCCAGAGCCCCACTCCGGTTGCAGTTCCATGTTCCGAGTGTGACTTCCTCAGTCTCTGCCATCTCGTGACTTTCATTCTTATAAGAATGCCAGTGGGTGATTTCAATATGGTCCTTCAGAGAGGACTTGCTAATGTCCCTCATGATTGGAGCCGGCCTAGTATCCTTTGCAAGACACTGGTCCTCTGGGGCCCTGCAGGCACAGGTCCCTCCAACAGGACCAGAAGGGGGTCCGAGCAGTGCCTTTTATCAGCCTCCTCTCCACTGGCCCTGTGTACCTGCCCTGTTCTGCTTGCTCTCCTCCAGTGCCAGGAGACGGTCAGGGCCATGAGGACCACCAGACCACACTGCCCATGGTCTGATATGACCGGCACATCTTGCAGAGGGAAGGGTAGCCTGTGCCAGTCACTCAGCCCCACACACGGAGCTCACAGAAACAGTCAAAAGACTGAGTCCAAGTGCTCTCAGGACAGGGTGGCCCTGGTGCCTGGCTGGGTCTCCTGTAGGCCATAGAGGCCAGGTTTTTGCTCTCTTGTCCAGGAACCCCCTGCTCATGGCTGTGGGACTCCCTGAGACTCAGCTTCAAGTGACTACCAGTTTTTTTTTTTTTTGGGTGGGGGTGGGGCTGATGAAATGTCACCAGACTACGAAACCCCAAGGGCTGGTTTTGAGAGAGACTTGTAGCAATCTGGGGCCCTGGGTCCAAGCCAGGTGGCAGAGCTATAGGAGGGGTCACTGGCCACATCTGCCCACCTTGTGGATGGACTCTCAACTGCTGTCACTCTCTCATCATGTCAAACTCCTCTCTGCTTTCCACTGAAGATGAATAATATCCAAACTAACACTGTATCGAGTAATTACACCTTTTAGCGCACCTGGCAATTTTTATCCAGCTGGCACTAGCAGTCAATCAAAAATGCCATAAAAGGGCTTTGCAATGTGCTAATGACTGCCTTCTCACAGGGATCATGGGAGTGCGCTCAACTCTTGGCACCAGAGCCACACATGGAGCAGCCTGATGGCTTCTCCACGCAGCTCAGATTCTCCGCACAGCCGGTTTCTCTGCCACAGAGGGTCCTTGTGCCGGGTGACATGCTTCCCACAGTGCAGTGTGATGGGCTCCTGGGAATTGTTTGGCTTTTGACCGTCATACATGAAGACAGAGACCTGGGGGAGCTGCTGGAGACCCCACAGCCCCAGACACAACTTGTCAGGGCTCACACCTCTTCACGTGACCAATGAGCACTGCTGCCCAGTCACCATCATGGCTAGAACTGTGGTGGTGTTTTGGGGCAGGAGCACTGGGTCCAAGGCTGACATGCCCCTACACGGTAAGGAAAGGGTGAGGTACAGCCTGTGGCAGCCATCTACATGTCTGTCCCTCTGTGGAGGTCGAGTCTGCACCTTCCGTGTTGAGCTCTGAGGTGGCAACCTACAGCCCTGATGTGCAAAGGAGCCGGAAGCTCCCACACCCTGGGGACCTGCCTCGTCCAGGGCCTGGCCACACTCCTTCACGTAGCAGATGTCACGTGGCACAGCACTGGTACCAATCAACATGTATGGTAATGAGGACATAAGAAGAAGTCCCAGAAGTTAACATCCCCACCATCCCAGAAGGCTCCTCACCACATACAGGGAGGCGCAGCAGCTGGGGCCTGGTCAGGAAGGGGCACGTGGTGGGAAGGGCCTCCAGTTGCCATGCACTGCCCAGAAGGGGTCACAAGGTCACCAGACCAGTCCAAGAGTCAAGGTCCTCGAATGAAGGAGGCCCTGGCCTGAGAAGCCTCATCCTGGCATGGGAGCCACTGGGACTGGTCCTTTATGCCTAGTGTCAAGTTCTCCATATGCCTAGAGTTGGCCCCCAGAAAGCTTAGAGCAGGCAAACAGACCCTGAGAAAGTGAAGACATGAACAAGTTTCCCAGTATAGAGAAACTAGTATTTTATAAGGCTTCTAGTAGAAAATAAAGATCTTGGTCAAGAGAGAAATGAGAGAACAGGGTGAATGTACGTTATCAAACACTGTCTAGTGAAGTCAGAGGCCACCTCACTCTCACTTCTATGGTTCAAATGCTATTTTCAAAAACCTCCATGAAGCCAGGTGAGGTGGCTCGCATGGCTGAGCAACAACCCCAGCAACTAAGGAGGCAGAGAATGGGAGGCCAATCCCAGGGGAAAAGTTAACAAGATCTCTATCTCAGTCGTTCAGCTGGGTGTGGTGGCACACTCTTGTAATGCCATGTACGCAGGAAGTGTAAACAGGAGGATTGTGGTCCAGGCCAGTTTGAACATAAAAGCAAGACCCTATCCCCCAGAAATTAAAGCAAAAGGGGCTGGAGCACGGCTCAAGTGGTAGAGAGCCTGCCTAGCAAGTACGAGGTCTTGAGTTCAAAACCCAGTACTGCCAAAAGGAAATAATAAAGACAAACAAAATCTCAACAGTAAGTCAATGAAATTAAGAGCAGCCAGCACAGGATAGAATGAGAACACAGAGGCCAACAGGGACAGGGTGGCTCAGACCAGATTCAACCATAGCAGGTTACACAGCCAGTGCTGTGGCAGTCACAATGGATGACAAAAATCTGAACACACCTGGCTTTTATGAGAAACATCTGAAAAACAAACAAACCTGTCCAAAGAAAAGGCAGACAGGTAAAGGGAGGTAGCAGCAGCTTTCCTGGCACATGGGAACTGTTGTCACAGTGTGTGTGTGTGTCAATCTGCCTTAAAGGCAGATTACCTTTCTCACTTAGAGACGACCTTGGAGACATCCAAGATGCTTCCAGGGTCGGGGCGGGGGACACGACAGGGGGGAAAGAGAACATCAGTGGCTCCTCCCTGGGTCTCCTCGGGAAACAGACCCAAAGCCATGGCTGTTTCCTATAGAAAATGATGAACAGGGCCGAGAGAGCTGCTGAGTTCAGTGTTCAGAACAGGTCAGCTAAAGGGCAGAACTCATGGCAGGACAGACTGCCGGGGAGGCAGCTACTGGTCAGCAAGGGGGGTGTCCTGGCCTCAACCGCACAGCACAACAGAGCCACCAAGGACATCGTGGGGACATTACTTCCCAAATATGGCAATGAAAGTCCCACCTACCGCTCCGAGCATGATCCTGAAAATCAGCCAGCGGAAGCCCCATAGGACGATGTGGGACGTGGGGGTGTACTCGGGCAGGCGGCACAGAGTCCAGACCGGGCACAGGAAGATCCCCAGGAACCCTGTCTCCAGCAGCTGTGACTCCCATCCTGCAAGGACGGGAGACACAGGAGGGCAAGGTTAGCAGGAGCATGCATGCAAAGAAACCCTATCTGGAACAGCGTAACTGCTGTAGCCCTTAACCTGGGACTGAGGCACGAGCTGTTTCAATGTCACTATGCATCTGTAGTAACGACATGAGGAGCTGAGGGGGACCTGGGCCGGGGACTGGGGATGTCCTGCTTTCCTGGAAGGAATGACCCTGCCCTGTCCAGTTTGCGTGTCACCCACCCATGCTGTGTGGGCTGTAGCGTGAACATGTCATCTGAGCCCCACACCTGTCTAGCTCATGTGCCACCCGCCGTCCCACGTGGGCAGCTCAAGCAACACATCCAAGCCCCACCCTCCAGATGTGTGTATCCAACTGGCATTTGAGAGCAACCTTTCGTTAGGTTTTCATGAAAAGTTCAGCTTTGGACATCCTTCCCAAGGGTCATTCACCAGGGCGGACACAGGTGTTGGCCCAGCTGGGGAAGGGAACTGAGCAAGACTCAGAGCCAGGGACCCCTGGATCCAAATGAAATGGCCCTATGAGCCCCCAGGACACAGGCTTCCCTGCTGTTCTTACAGCTGGGACCAGAAGCACAATGAGAACAGTGGTCCAGGTTCTGCTATACATTGAGGTGGCCGCATTCCATGAAGTCATGTAGGTGAATCCTATCACGGAGGTGGAGGTGACGTCTATCACGGAGGTGACGTGTCAACTGCTGGCTCCACCCTAGCCAGTTCTACACTCCAGAGGTGCTGGCGCTTCCTGGCTCTCACCTAAGCTCTACGGATGGCACATAGCCATGTGCTCCCCAGTGAGGGGACAGTCAGGTCATAGCAAGAACAGTATCCGTGCATGTGTGCATGCAGAAAAAAGGGATGGGGAGAGAGGGAAGGGAATGAGGGAGGAAGCCCACAAAGGGGATTAGGGAGGTGAAAGGGAGCTCCTCCTGCACTTCTCACAACTTTTTTATATATTAAAAATTATTTTAAAATTAAAAGCTAATCAGTATTAAGTCATAACACAAAATGACACAGATATCCATGAGACCGCACTGACATAAATAAATGGATAAACAGGGACCAGAAATAAGTCCCCCAGGCAGAACACCTCATAACGTGCTGAGCCCCATCCTCCAGGGCTGTGCCCAGCGCCACCATTCCACACTAAACAGGAGGGAAAGGGAAGTCACCCAAGAGGATCGAGGACAACTTGGCAGAGATGAGGCAGGTCTGCACCATTTGCCATGGCAATGAGATGGGCGGTGCTTCACCTCCGGGTCTTCCCCGAGAAAGACAGACCAATACTACTAGAGGGAACCCAACAGATGCCAAGTAGCACCCCCAAACTGCCAAGGCCTTAAAACCAAGGAGACTGAGGAGACATGTGACCAGATGTTACCTGGGTCCTGGGTCAGGGAAAGAATATTAGGGGAAACTGAGGAAGTATGGACACCCTTTAGTGAGAAGCACACAAATGCACCACATTAGCGTGGGAACCGTTTTCACCGCAACTCTGTAGCTCTAGACTGCGCTGAAAGTCTATTTCTTAAAAAAAAAAAAAAAAAAAAAAAAGTGGGACCTTGCAGCTGTGTACTGTCTGCTCATGGTAGGACCTGCCCCCTCCATCTCTTGGTCCCCTCAGTCAGGCCCTTCAGCCCAAGGACTGCCCAGTCACAGGTCTCTTGCCTGCCCAGGAGTGTCTGCCTGAGGCTCTCAACCCTGGCACTTGGGTTTTCATTGGTTTGTTTCAGTGAAGCCATGCATGTGATGGTGAGCAGTTGGCAAAGCCACAAGTGACTGTTGGCTGGGTATGCCAGGCACTGCCTGTAGCTCTGACTGTAGGTAGGAAAGGGCCCAACTGTTCTGGGAGCGACAGTTGGATGAGGAAACTGGAGGCCATGATCAATGCAAGATGGGTGTTGAGCCAGGATACGGCTTTAGGCAGCAGCCGGAGCTCCTGGCACTGAAAGCCCTCAGGCAGCAGTTGTGGCTGGGCTTCTCTGAGCTGTGCTGTTCTTGGCCCTATTTGTGGGTTGTCACCAAAAGGACTGAGAAAGAGCTGCACCCCAGTAGAAAAGGTGAAGACCCAGTTTACGGGAAACACAGCCATCTTTGGAGCACCCACCCCATCACAGGATGGGAGCCTAGGATGGCTCCTGGATGCAAAGCTGACACTGCATCCAGTGTGGCTGATCTTACTGCCTTCAAATGGCCCTCGGAGTCATTGTGAGTCACTTGGTTTTATCTTGTCGAGATGAGCTCAAAAGTGTGCTGAGCGAGCCTGGCTTCGCATGAGGGTGCTTCCTCCTTGTATAACAAGTGCTCTAGTTTTATCTTGAGATGATTTGCATTAAATCTGGGTGGATTTCACATGGGTGTGCCTCATAACCTGTGGAATTTCACAACCAGAGTGTCCCACAGATCAGGGAAGTGCCCGATAAACATGGCAAGAGATCCTGGCAGGGAATGTTTCGAGGAAGTGCCTCAAAGACCACAGGCTCTGATTCTCTCTTTACTCTGCGGGCAACAACACTCCGGAATGGGAAGCCATGAGCCAATCCAATCCAACCCCCACGCAGCCAAACGCAGACACGAGGCCACGGAGTGGGAGCAGGGCACGGTCTCACCCCACACTCACCTAAGTGCCCATTCCTGGAGGGACTCCCTTGCCAACCTGGGGCAAGGCGGAGCTGGCTCCATGACAGCCTTGCACTTTTGGGGGATGTATTCCCCAGAGCATGGATCCTGCCTAATTGCCGCCTCTCTCTGCAGAGACGTGAGGAGAATTCTGACACACATGAGTGACACCAATCAAAGTGATTGATCCACAATGGCAGAGCCCAGAGATACACCTAAGTGCCAGGAGGCAGGGTGACAGGGCGGGGGATGGGGACGGAAGGGCAGGGCAGGTGAGGAGGAAGATTGGTGCGTGGCCAAGGTCACTCGGCACCCGTGGCCTTTAGAGTGAGTGGACATTACTGTCTTGCTGGGACACAGACACACTGCAGAGCAAAGGCCTGGAGATTCCTCACAGTGGGACCCCACTTCCCTGTCTTGCTCGGTGGAGTCTTCCCAGCTTGGGGGCTGTGGCTTCGGGGCACCCGGGAAGGGAAGGGTGGCAGCAGCCCCACCTGCCTGCGTTCTTTGCTGGGATCTTGTGGAGTCTCAGCAGCTGTGCTGAGCACAAGGAAGCCCATTGTTCTCCACTTCGGCGTGGGCAAAGATGCGTCCTCAGAAGAAATAACCAGCACACTGCCAGGGGCGGTTTCCAGGGCCCAGGCAGCCAGGCACTGGTGGTATCCAGCACACTGGGTCCTCACCAAGTGGGCAGAGGTGGAGATGGTGCCTTCTGCAGGATATGGAGGCTGGTGACCATGGACAGATAAGACCCAGTGCCACCATTCCACTGGTACATTTTATCAGCTACAAGTCTCCCACACCACCATCTGTGCCTACAACCCCAGACCCTTTTCTGTAGGGGACAAAGATGCCTGGCATTTTTGCTCTTCCACAGGCTCCTCATGGTCTCGGGGGAGGATAGATCAGAGCTGAGGAGGGTCTTGCCTGTTGTTCATGTCTCTGAGGATGGCACCATTTTACTCAGCACATGCTGTGGGTGCTGAGGATATGGTCCCACCAGTGGCCCTATCAGGTTACTGTCAGCAGAGGCCAATGAGGGGGCCTTCAAGTGTGGGTCCTGTGCAATGGCTCTCACACAGTGATTCAAGGCTAGTTCTGGAAAGTTCACTTCAGTGTCTGCTGCTTTCATTTTCAGCAATGTGGCAGGCACAGAACCAATACCACCTGAGCAGCTGCACGTGAGGGACGTCAGTTCCACTTCGTACTTCACAGTGGCTTCCAAAAGCTCCATGTGGAGCAGTTTCCTTGTAGTGTGGGCAGCAGGCCTGGCAGCTGCTGCTGCACCTGTCATCATCAGAGGCCACAGGAAAGGCTGGGTGCACTGAGGACATGTACACATGACTACTCCTACCTCATGTTTGAGATGGTGGCTGCTTCAGTAGAGTCCTCCCAGCATCCTGTGAGGACAGACCAGATGTCAGATGGAGGGAAAGATGAATGGGATGTCACTTGGAGCAGCAACAGGCCAGGCAGGTGGAGCTGTCCCAATCTGGCTGTCTCTGTATCACGGATGGGGAAGGACCATGGCACTCCACCCTCACTCTCCTGGATGCTGCCTGCTGAAACTGTTATAGCTTCCCAAGTTCAAAACCATCCATGCTCTTCGTCTTCTTCCCTCCAGGGTGGGTGGATGGGGAAGTGCACGCTGCTGTGGACTCAGAAATGTGGTTTCTCTAAACTAAATCTCCAAGTAATCACTCATGTCACACAGAGACTAAAGCAGAGGCCATCTAGGTCTCAAACCAAATCAGCAGACCTGAGAGCTCCATCCCAGGTGCTTCCCTCGCACTGGTCAGTAAGGCCTCTGTTCAATTCATCAAGGGCTCACAGTGCCCACCTTGTGGACAGTGAAGTCCTATGTCATTTCACCTCTACAGGTTAAACCTAACCAATGAAAAGTACTCTGCATCTAGGCTTTGAAGAGTCCTGGAGCCTGGCGGGAGGGTGGGTGGTGGGGGAGTGTCCGAGGCTGGTGTGCATGCCAGGGAGGCTCAGAAACACTGAGGAGGACCAGATACAGGGTGGAGGAAGAGCACACTAGGCAGTCTCAGACACCCTGAGTGGATGGAGGACCTGCAGCAGAGGGAAGACATAACAAGCAGCCCAATGTCTCAGGTGAGTGGAGAGACCAAGGTAGAAGGAACTTGCCCTGGACCCCGGAGCCTCTCTCTTCTTCAAGGTAGCCACTACTCACTCCACACTGAGCTCTGAGGCACTTGCTCCCAGATAAACACAATGCAGCAGTGGGTATGTGCACTGCCCCTCTACTTGTAGCCATCAAGAAGCGAGGAGAGACTTGCTGCTATTGGAAGCCAGAGGATGACGCTGGAGGCCTGGTCTGAGCCTGAAGCTTGACATA